CTATTTGCTCAAAGACCTGATCGCTAAAAACGCTGTTTCGCTAAAAATGGAGAGTCTTCCGGATTGCCTGATTGATACTTCCTTTTCACTCAAAACTATCCGTTTACAAAGTTGATTCTCCTATGACGCCGAGTCGTAAAAAGAACGCAGCCGAAGGCTTAATTTCGCGACGGCGTTGACGCGCTGCGACGCGCTCTCTATCACAATGGCGCTGCGATGCCATAGACGGGTATCGATCGGCATTTGCCGCCAGTATTCTGAAAGACTATAGCGTAAGGATAGGCATTACCTAATAACACAGTCTTATATTGATCGGCGCCGTCCGCTAGTGTTTTGGGAAAGTATGGAAGAATTGAAGGGTACCAACAACTTATATCCTCCTATTCTCCTATATTCTCTCAAAATCCCATCGCCAATCAGAACCCCTCTTTGGCTGCGTTCCAAGAGATGACACGTCATTGTCATTGTTTAGCTGTCGATGACGTCTCTGAATACATTATTAGTGTAATATGAGAGGATTTCTGAGCTTCATTGTCTTGTCTTCTTTGTGATTGATAGAATGAAACTCGTCAAAGTCGTTTATTTCATAGACGACGTTTCGGGCCTTAAGCCCTTCTTCAGGTCTACAAATATCACATTCAAACCTACACCAACATCATCTAACTTTACAAACATACGCAAGAAATTCAAAGGGGAAGAACAATCAACAAATAACTGACCGGCTTCCTAGGGGAAGGAGGAGGGTTTGGGTGGGAGGGGGATTCAGGAGTATGCTTATAGAAGGACAATGGAGTTCATTGCTGCACAATGATGTGACATAACGGGTGATACGTGACATATGACAAATAGCAGTGTATCAACATCCCACCACTGCTTCACCAATCTAGCTGTGCCATTTCTGAAGGAAAGGACAGCTGGGGAGGTGAGTCAATGTTGCGTGTTACTGTTTCTCACATCATCATAGACCATCTTGCAGCATACTCCCGGATCCCCCTCCCACCCAGACCCTCCTCCCCCAAGGAAGCCGGTCAGTTATTTGTTGATTGTTTCCCCTTTGGATTTCTTGCCGTATGTTTGTAAAGTTAGATGATGTTGGTGTAGGTTTGAATGTGATATTTGTAGACCTGAAGAAGGGCTTAAGGCCGAAACGTCGTCTATGAAATAAACGACTCTGACGAGTTTCATTCTCTTAATCACAAAGAATGCACATCATTATTGTGTTATATGACGTCAGTGGCACATCATCTATCTGTTAACATGGAATGTAGAGGGCCGCCTACCTGTGCTGCATTAGCGCCCGCATGTCCTTTGTTACAAGCAGTTGCCAGCGAGCTGGCGTGGCAGCTACTTTTTCAATCCTTATATTTTTTTCAGCAATTAGTTGAGCTTTTTGTAACGTCATATGACGGTAAGTTAAAGTACTAAGTCTAATTTATAGCTCATTTTAAGGATGGTTTTGTGAAAGGTCTCCTTGCGTCAAAGTCGCAAAGCTCTTCGCCTCCAAAGAAATCGAATACACTCACTCGTTTTTACATATTTTTGGCAGCGTGCATATTTCTCGGATATTTGACAGGCGGTTCGTTTCTTTTCTGTCGCGCCTGTTTGTCTTTGCACTATATCTGCATGATTATGTTTTTTTCTTTTTGATTTTTTCACGTTTTTTTTGCCCTTCTTTCCTTCAAATATATACATATATTGTTTACTATTACTTTGTGTAGCTAAAGCTTGCTCTAGCTATTCGTGTTCGAATAGGCGATCGCCAGTTCGGTTCCCTCTTCTTCTCCAACACGCAGGAAGTGAAACCAGAAGACGTTCAAGTCACATTCGATGATGTTCGAGGAGTGAGTTCCACTTCGTTCTCTTATCAGTCGAATCACGAGCCATTTTTTCTAATTGTTAAGAAATATTCGAAGGAGTTCAGGTTATTTTGTTCGGTTTCTGATAGGTTCCTTGTGGAGTCGAATTTAGTCCTGATTTTTTTTCGCCTTTTTCTACTATTACTTCTCCAAAATCAACAATTTTTTCTTACGGAAACCTCGATAAAGTGACATTTCGTTCCCTTGATTACTAGTATGATATCCATTTTTTGGCGCTGGCACCACAAATCCTCCTCGCAAATCCATCCTCACGCGACCACATCTTCTATCGAAAAATTTTAAATCCGCACAATGGGGCTGTTTACCATCCTGTTAATATCGCATTCATTTTCTATGCCAGTGCGAATGTAGAGCTTCCTGATCGTCAGCGCTCTACTAAGGCTGGGCCTGGCGGGAAGTAGTCACACTCCTTCCTGGCTCAGTCTTAGAGCCTTAGAAGAATATAAACTGTGCTGATTTCAAAGGAATTGAGTGTCATGTTTATGATCACAACAGTAAACAACCCTAGCAAGCAACTTTATCGATTTTGGTGGGAAATTGGTGGTACCATATTGGAGTCTATTGGCGCGAAATGGCAGATGGCCAGTGTCAAAAGCGGATGTCATAACCGTGATCAAGGTCTCGAGTAACCCCTGAAGGCGAAGTTTCAGTGATTGTTTTGTTTGGTAGGAGTAGGGACAGCCGACTTTTGGATGATTTTTCGGTTTGCTGGGGACTCGACGGCCAAAGATTGTATGCATCTGAGACCGTGTTCATACCGCTGTTACAGGAGGAAGGAGAATCCGTTAAAAGTATTAGACATGTACCTACTCCTGAATATTTCGATTCTTCAATTCAATACGTATACCTTTCATTCTCGGAAATTCTCCGATCCTCCCAAATTTGCGATTCCATTGCTCTCCCATGTCGTAACGAGTGTAACATTAAGATGGACGAAGCCAAACAAGAGGTGGAAGAAATCGTTGACTACCTTCGTGATCCTGAGAAGTATTCTCGTCTTGGTGGCCGTCTACCCAAAGGCGTGCTGCTGGTGGGACCTCCAGGAACCGGCAAAACGCTTCTCGCGAGAGCCATTGCTGGCGAAGCGCAGGTGAACCATACGATTCACAACTGTTCACTGTTATTTACTTGTTGTTATCTTCGACTTTCAGGTGCCATTCTTTCACACATCCGGGTCAGAATTTGACGAAGTTTTGGTCGGTCAAGGAGCTCGCAGAGTGCGAGATTTGTTCGACAAAGCTAAAGCAAGGTTTGCAATTACGTTTTTTTTAACATATACCAGTGTGTGTTATTCTTGTGTTTCCAAAATGTCTTTGATTTCTTTACAGGGCACCATGCATAATCTTTATCGATGAGATTGACAGCGTTGGATCAAAGCGAGTCTCAAACAGCATTCATCCATATGCCAACCAAACGATCAACCAATTACTGAGGTTTGAAAACCCGTTCAGTCTCCTAGGCCACTTCCTGTCAACTTATAGTGGGGTGTTCTTCTTGAGAGGAAAGGTTGAAGAGAACCGCTACTGAAGATTTACCGCATTTCTGAATTGGGGGAGCCCGCTCTTCGATGTTTTTAGTGTGAGTGGTTCAGATGATGAGAAAGGTTCTCTTTTAGTGAAATGGATGGATTTAACAGGAACGAAGGTGTTATAGTGATTGCAGCGACAAATCGCGTGGATGATTTGGACAAGGTATGAGGCTTTTCTCGGGCGACATCTTGCGCAAGAATCTTGCGCTCTTTCCAGGCTCTTCTCCGTCCAGGCCGTTTTGACGTTCGAGTAACTGTTCCGAAGCCTGATCTTGCTGGTCGGATAGATATTTTTAACTTTTACCTCGGAAAGATAGTACACTCTCCTCTAGTCGATTCTAAGACATTAGCAAAGGTATTTTTCAAGAAAATTCCGATGATTTTCTCTAATGATGAAAACTTCTTGTTCCTTCAGGGTTCTACGGGCTTCACTGGTGCTGACATAGAAAACATGGTAAATCAAGCTGCATTGAAGGCTGCCACGGTAGCAGCACCGGAGGTCACAATGGCCCATCTGGACGAGGCGAGAGATAGGTAATGGATTTTTGTCTATACCAGAATGCTTTAAACCCTGTATTCCTGTCTAGAGTGCTCATGGGCCCAGCTCGTACTGGAGGGAGAATACCCGATGAGGAAGCGAATAGAAATACCGCTTTTCATGAAGCTGGGCACACTCTTGTTTCTCTCTACACAAAACATGCTACTCCTCTTCACAAGGTACCATCAGTTTGTTCTTTTCGGTTTTTGACGTTATGCGGAAATCAATTTCCTCCAGGTCACCATTATTCCTCGCGGTACGTCACTTGGACACACTGCTATGTTACCCGAAAAAGACGAATATCAGATGACGAAGGGCCAAATACTCGCAGCTCTAGACGTTATGATGGGAGGAAGAGTTGCAGAGGAACTCATTTTTGGAGACGATATGGTGAGGCTGAAAATGCTTTAGTGATATTTATTGCTACTTCTTAAATTCACAGCTTGATGAACGCTTCGCATTTATTTTCTTCGAGTTTTGCAATATCCATTCCAGGTAACGACTGGTGCAGCCGATGATTTGAAGAAAGCGTCACAGTTGGCTGTGCAAATGGTGAAAGCTTTCGGAATGAGCGAAAAGGCAAGCTTTTTTTCTGGGACGTACTGTTCCAATTGAAACCATTTCGATTGAATTTCAAAGCTTATCAAAACGTAATTTGTTGACGTTGTCTTATTCTAGGTTGGACTACGAGATTTCACTGCTGAGGATTCGTCAACGTCAGCTTTGATCAAAATGAGTGATTTGAGTCCTCAAACGGCAGAAGCGATCGACCGAGAAATCAACCAAGTTTTAGCAGACAGCTATCAACGAGCAAAAGAAATTCTAGTGAAGCATCGGGTATGAACGTCTGTCAGTTGGTTTTTCCGAAAAAATGTTCTTATGGAAGTGGGGGGGAGGTCGAAAATACTCGCGGATCGAGTTGGGAACGGAGGAGGTCGCAACCAAACAGCTAATAATTCTAACTATCGTAGTAGTCGTGTAGGACTTTCTGACTGCGCTGCCAACCAACGGGAGGATCCAACTGTCCCAAAACGACAACTCCAGAAGCGGAACCAGCGTCATGTTCAAAGGAAGTTCGCAGCCACGCTTCCCCTGTCCCTGAAATAGGGAGTGTATTTGGATGTTTGCACTTTTATGAACGGATCCCTACCCTCAACCGTCTCTTTCCTCCTGAACAACCCCATCAAAATCCAGTAAAACCGCTTTCTTTGTCGTCGTACTCTGAGGAATCCCCAGCGTGGGTCACATTCGAGTAGCCAGAGGTGAGGGGGATCGTACTTGGCCCGAAAAATTTTTCGATAATTGGTTGTTCCATTATTCTATATGTTCGCTTTGTTGGAGTGGGTCGTGAGCTCCACGTCTTTCGAGAGCGTCGAAGAAGGCGTCGCAAGATGGATCACCTTCGTGGCATTCGCACCAGGACCTAACTGATTCAGCGTGGCAGTTGGAGCACCCAAGTCAATCAGCTAGGGAGTACTTTACTAGTTTAGGCACGTTGTCGCGATGCTGTCCTAACGACCCACACTACTTGCCAAGTGTTACTGTGAACTTTTGCGTAAACTTTGCTTTCAGAAAGAACATCAGCTATTGGCTGAAGCACTGTTGGAATACGAAACGCTTTCAGCGGAAGAGGTCAGGCAAGTCATATCGGGGAAGAAGATAAAGGTGAATCTTTGAATATGTGGGTTTTTGGAATTCATTTATGATGCAGCTCTGTTAATTCGTAGTGCAATGCTTAAACTATTAAGCGTGCAACTCCAGCAGAAATGAAAAGAACCAATGACGGTATCCATCGCAACCCTCTCGTTCGTATCCATGTCTTCGAAGAAGGGAAGAATTAAGCCTTTCCATCTTTGTTGGTGTATTTCTTGCGTAGTTTTTGCGTAGTATTTTGTGGGAACCTGCTCGTTTTCTTGGAGCAGGTGTAGCTTAGGTCCTCAGTCCATTAGGTTACTTGAGGGGAGATGCGGATGAACACACTCGTTTATGCGAAAACGGGTCTCATATATCGTAAAATGGCACTTCGGAGCCTTTTCTTCTCCCAAACCTCAGGTGGAAATCTTATCTGTATTGGACTGCGGACGTATACTACACCAGCATGATTTCTTTATTATCGTGTGTTCGAAAGTTTATCTCATATTTGTGTGCAAATTATTTATGTCACGTGTAGCTAGCGACCTTAGCTTCCCTCTACGAAGTTTTTTTTACACAGAGTTATCTACGCTAGGCTAAGTAGTAACTGGTTTTATAGCGCACCGTCGCTGTATCGTCGCTCCGAAACTGGTAATACTTACTGCAAGTTGTTACGCTTACTCAGTAATATCGGGGTTTGACTTGAATGTTTCTTGGTTGTTCAAATTCTCCATGGCAAAAGATCTATTTTGCCTGTTGACGGTAAAAAAGGTTTGAATGGTAGTGATTGAAGGTGCTGCCTTTATGATCTACTTGTTGCACCGTGAGATATTCTAACCTCTAAATTAAATAAGCTTAGCTTTTATGTTTCCCGTTAATGGCTCTTGATGCTCTTCGATAGCGGTTTTGTTAGTTTTTTCACATGAAATGAGATTGCTCCGACTCTGACTAGTAGCTGTTTTCTCCATATTGTCTCTTCGGCTGGTCGTCTGTGATTCATCGAAACTATACGCTCTCCACACCCTCTAGTTATGCTGAGTATTGTAATGCTGTTCTTGATCACTGACATTTGAATGACATTACTATTGATTTACTTGAAAAGATATTGGTTTATTGAAAATTTATGATGTTTGTTGGACTTTCCGGGCACACATCTTTAGCGGCATCTGGCCGGAACAAATATTTGGAGGCATTTAGGTGGAAATAATTTATCTTTCGCAGGGGTATGCGACGAGACAATCGTAATATGCTGCCCTGTGCGACGGGTTCGACAGGCGAGTTGTCCTGCTTGGATATGAGTGTCAAATGTATGGAAAATTTCGATATCCCGGTAATGGAGTCTTCTTTGCTTGGTTTCATATGGATTTCGCTGCTCTGATCGGCAAATTGATGAACATTGAGAATTAGCCGGTCTTGGCCGCACGATACGAGCGCGACGACCCAACAAACTGCGATTGTTTGTCCGTCTCCCCTTTCATAGAAGTGCCGTTCAGGGGGGAGGATGTTGCGGCGACAAGCGGAAGCTGACGGAGTGTTTTACAACTAGTTGAATCGACAATCGGTACGAATTCTGCCGTGTACCGTCCTTCACACGCTGGATGCTCAAATCGTGAATAGCTAAGCGCAGAGCTCAGCACCCTTAGCGATGAAAACAGCGAAGTGGGTCGCAATTCGGCCGTTCAGAAGAGAGGGGGGGGGGGGGGTAGGGATGATAACCGCCCTCGAGAGATCTTATTCTATTTGATAGTTGGTTTTCTCTGATTTCGGCGCTCATCATTGACAGAACACCCCTTCAAGTTTTCCAAGAGGCAATATTTGTGAAAAAGTTCAGGGAACGTGGTTGTTGCGTGCCCTGTCTGTGCAATACCGTTTTGTTGCTACTGAAAGTAAGACTGGCGAAAGGGCGGGTGATAAATTACTGATCACTATTAGGTGGTCCGGAAAGTTCTGCACGTCTCGAGTGTTTCACTTTTAAACGATCAATAACTTTCTTAACACTCATCGGATTTAATTCCAAATAAGCACCATTCGAATCAGCACACTTTTGCCAATGTGACAGCAGTTGAGAAATCCCATCAAAATAAAAAGAAGGTGTCCGGAGTTCACTGAAATCGCGACAGGATTTGTTGCCTGGTCCGATTTGATGATAGTATTTTCCAGGCAAGTGGGTTTCTGGAAATGTCTTGAAAAGGTGAATAGTCGGTTGTTGAATGGGTCCTGAAGATCATTGCTGTTGAGGTGAGAACTAACCCCAATTTCGTCATTTGCTATGTTGAGTGATGGTTGGTGAAAAGTGTGGGCGGGCGCGTCTTCCATGTCAGAATCGAACCATTTCTTTTTGATAAGCTTGTTGGCTGCAGCCCTGAAAAACCTTCCTTCTGTACATTTATACGATTCCTTCACATAGGGAAGTCTGCTTATGATGGATCTTGGCCCTGGATGATACAACAGTTATTTGGATCAACCACCGATTACCACAAGCGGTGTCCCGCCCCACGCATTCTTTTTTCTTTGCCCCGTCCGCAGGTCCTCGCCCTTCTGCCGCACACTCTGCGTCGGTGGTATCGGTCGGAAATCATCACTGCCTCCGCAAACGTCCTCCTGCTTTCATACATGATCACATTTTATTTCATGCACAGGGCTGAAAATTCGGATCCGCAAACAGGTCGTTTCTGCTGCGCAAAAGCAATGCAGAAGGAACCTCGAGACGTGCCGATTCCTGCCGGTCACTCCGATTGTGGGGCACCCAATTGTCGAGTTTTTTCACCTTCCCAATGCGTTCCAGACCATCTGCAACAGTGGATTTGCCAAGGCCTAGCTCTTCTGCTATCTCTCGAACTGTTTGGGATGGGTCAGCCTCCAAAATCCCCTAAATCCTCGTCAGATATTGCTTTAGGTCGACCGCTATGAGGTTCATCTTCAAGGCTGAAATCTCCAGAACGAAATTTGTTGAACCATTGCCGCACAGTGCTTTCTCTAGCACTATTGGGCCCCCACACCTGGTTAATTGTTGAGCTGTTTCGATTGCGGATTGCCCCAATTTATAGTCGAAGAAAAAAATCGTCCGAAGTGCTCTTTTCACATGCTTGAAAAAATCTTGAAAAAAAGGGGTTATCAAGCAATGGTGAAACGGCAGTTATACCATCAGATAGCGCAAGAATTCTCTTCAGGATGTACTACTGAGAAGTGAGTTTTTAATCAGCAATGAAAGTTCAAAAACCTGGAGTCAAAATAACACAAAACGTGCACAACTTTCCGGACAACCTAATAGTTCAACATTAGCACTAGGTGCACTCTAGGTTTCCACTCCGTTGTTATACACAGTTTATACTTTTTGGTCGCTCTATTTAAACTGTGGACTGTAGACGTTAGACGTTAGGTACTAGCATTCACGTTAGGTACTAGCATTCAGCCGAGGCGTTTCAAGTTATTTATTTAATAACTGTATTGTGATTGCCCTATTATTAGGTTGTCACAAAAGTTCGTGGCATTTTTTTAAATCTCATATCAAGTCTTTCCGCAGCTATTTCGGGATCAGTTATGTAAGCTATGGGAACTGTCCACAATTGCTTTACCGTCCCTAGCAGTCGCTGTTGTCATATCCAAAACGGTAGATGAAATTCATAATTTTCGTCACACTTCGCTATATGAATCTCCACCAAGTCACAACCTGGTTGGAGCCACACGCGGCATTTCTCTGAGTTAGGTCCTGATGTACCTTCCACAGTACGGCGCTGAAATGGCCCGATCGCTTCCGCTTGAGTGACTTCTATCTGGGAGAAAACTTCGTCCAGAGAGGCCATCTGCCTTGGAATTTGGACCTACTGCGTCCCTTGAATAAAACCAATTTTTACGAATTAATCGCCATATTGTCCTTACACTTGACTCTTTCAAAAGCGCAAATGACAGAGGTCCTCACTCCCTCAAAAATGTATTGTTGTTTGGTCAAAAGTTTTCTCATGAGCTGACCGATACTCAAGGGGAGGGCATGTGGGTACTGTCTACAACTTCTCTCCCGCTCCCGCCATACAGACTGGTTGAACAACGACTGTGACTGGATAAGGAGTAGGTGTCTCTGGGTGAACCACTCCCGGAAGCGCCAGTGGCTAGATCCTCCAGGAAGGGCACAATAGGTCGTGCAAACCCTTCAATACAATAATAAGGTGATACTGAGCATGTGGTGAACGATCCATGGGGTTAACTGAAAGGAGTTTCTTCCTCTCAATGCTGTAGTAACCAGCGATCCTCCAGTATTTAACCGCAAGGGCAGGATGAAAACCCATCATTTGGTTCTAGTAAAGGTTGTCTACTCCACCACAGCTCAGGAATCACACTTTTCGAAAATGACACTGCTCGAGATCTTGAAGCTTAGCTGGGGAATTCCACCACAGTCTTCGTGTAGCCCTGACTTAGCTCTTTCTGACTGCCATCTAAACTAATCCCTCAGCGGCCACCTTCTGGGTGAAAAATACGATTTTCAAAAGCACCTCAAAAATGACCCGGCTGCCTTTCTCGACATGGAACTAAAAAGCTTCTGGAAGCAAGGCAACCACTCTTTGCTGGTGGTTGGCAACAAGTTGCCGATGAAGGTAACATATACAGGGGGGGGGGGCAAAAAAAAGTCATTTTGCCTCCATGACTTTCAAGGCGCTATAAGTTACACTTTATTAAATTTTTATCGGACATTTTTACTACCATATTAAAGAGCACATTAAATACTATAATGATACTCCGCCACAGCCTTCTGGAGGAGCGCCATCGAGAGATTCGGCCGCGCGAAAGTGAGTGGGTACCGGAGTTGAGCGAGATCGTTGATTTCTCCGCCACTGTAGACCACCCTGTTGAGCTCCGCCCGAACTAGGTAATTGAGTGGGTTCAGGTCAGGGGACATATTTCAATATTACACATTCTTCATCAGGTACGAAACGCCCTTCCATTCGAAGTATTTTTCCAAAACCCTTCGATTCCATGTGGTGGCACCCAAACCTGTAGCAGCACAAGTCTCCAAGAAGTACGTCCGACCGCATGAAGGAGGAGTATCCCTTCTCGGAGTACTTATCGTAACGCCAGCGCCATACTCCTCAAGTCGGGGTCCTACAAGAAAAATCGTTCATCCATTCCAGGACGGTTCGTTCCACACCATCAACTGACCGCGCCTTGGTGAAGGGTGAAATGATTCCCGACCGTAGCGAACGGTTGCCGAGCTGCT